CTGGCGCTGCGGGCCAAGCCCACCGTGCGCAAGGAGCGCGTGGTGCGGCCCGACTCGGAGCTGGGCGAGCGGCCGCCCGAGGACAACCAGAGCTTCCAGTACGACCACGAGGCCTTCCTGGGCAAGGAGGACTCTAAGACCTTCGACCAGCTCACCCCGGACGAGAGCAAGGAGAGGCTGGGGTGAGCCGCGGCCCGGGCGGAGGCGGCGCAGGTGTCCGCGGGGACCCCAGGCGCCGGCCACGCGGAACGCGGCGGCAAAGCGAAAGCGAAAAATCCCGCGCAGCTGCCCGCGCAGGCCCGGGACACCTCGGCGGCCGGCACCCCGACACGCTGCGCCCCGCGGGGAGGCGAGAACGTGGCAGCGGCCTCGGAGGCCAGGACGCGAGGCCCGCCCCTTTCCTGGTTGCATCAGGAGGGAGGGGAGCAAGTGCCAGGGTGGGCCGCGGTGGCCTTTGGTGCCACCCTCATTGCCGGAGGAAGGGGCTTGAGACACGCGGAGAAGCCGTGTGCCGTAATGGGTAAACGACGGGCAGGGGTGGGGGCTTGATGCGTGGCGAGTCCCAGGGCAGGGCCGGGCTGCCCAGCTGCTGCCCAGTTGCCCAGGACCCGCTGTAGGGTATAGAGATCCCTTTAAGGAGGGAGGGGCACTTGGAGATGAGAGATCAGGGCCGGGGAGCGGCAGGGGAAGCTGGACCCCGTTTTCTGTGTCCAGCGCCTAACTGCAGAAGCACTGGTCTGGGCAGCAGACCGCTGTGGGCAGAAAGCTGGAGGGTGGCCCTGGCGGTGGACAGCGATTGGCACATGGATTGGCACATCACGCGGCAGGGGCAGGGGCCCCTAGGAGATACTGGGACACTGCAGTTACCTAGAAACCCTTCCCTGCCTGCAGCCAGCCTGGCCCCAGGTGGAGGCCTGGCTGGGGGGGTCAGCGGCCCTGCCTCCTGGGCATTGGTCCCTTGAGGGGGAGGGGCACTTCATGCCCTGCTCCAAGGGGAACAGCGCCATCCCTGGCAGGCCATCCCTGGCAAGGCCTGCTTTCGTTAGGATCTGAGGATAAATTATAGCCATTGTGTAGCCGCCATCTGCCTGCTCTGATAAAAAAGACCTTTGAACTTCAAAGTCCTTCCAAACAATGACCTTTTGTTTCGTAGAGTACTTTCTCTTCTTATTTGGGACTTCACAATGGGGCCATTGATAAGTTCAGTCTATTGTATTGCTTTGGGACACTTGGGGCCTGCTTTCTTCTGGGGCCCTAGTGTGTCTATGGCCATTGTAGAGTGGGGAGGTTTTGCAGTCCTGCTGTTTCCAGTTTACGCCTTCTGACGGGAGCCTAGTGGTGAGAACGTTCCGGGGCTTGGTCTGGGCCTGATCCGGGTCTGGCCACCTCGGCTTCACTCTATTCATGCGTGAGCACCTGGATGGTTGCTATGTGCAGGCGCCGGGCAGGGGCAGAGACAACGCACTGCCAGGGCCAACGGGGACCTGAGCCTGTCCTGGGCATCAGGGCTGCAGGTCAAGGAAGATGGGGGAGGCAGGAGACCGGAAACCAGGCAGAGTAGGGGGAATGTTGGCGAGATGGAGATGAGATGGCACCCTGGACGTGGTCGAAGGATCGAATCCCCCACGCTGAGGGCAGACCCACAGGACGCAGGACACACGGCAGCATGAGTGGGTGGGGAGGGTGTGGGGCAGGAGGACCCTCAGAAGTGGGGGAGAACTGACAGCTCTTGACTGGCGGGGGGAGGGGTGGGGGCAACGGGCAACATCCGGGCCTCTGGCCACCCTACTGGACACGTAGCCGATGCACAGCTCACCTGGGCTAGGCGTTGCCTGGGCCAGGGGTGGTGCAGGGTCTTGGACATTCTGGGTCCCGTTTGGGATGGGGCTTGTGGGAGAGGCGCCCCTCTGTCACAGCGTGTCTCAGTGGCCCCCCGAGTCTGGGTGGTGGGAGGAGTGGGGCTGCCGCTGACTCCTTGTCACCACCACCCAGAGCCACGGTCGGAGCACCGTCGGCTCGCTGGGGGCTGCACTTCCCCAGGCCGTCTGTGAGCAGCCGAGCAAGTGGTGACTTTTCCGTCCCCCTGAGCTGACTGCCGCTGTCAGTGTGGACAGGCGCACCTTGCCCAGTTCTCATGGCATTGCTGCGGAGTTGGCGTTCCACTTTCCAGATGGAGAAACCGAGGCTCAGAGAGTCAGAGAGTGGGGGTGAGGGCCACGATGGACCAGCTGTGCCTCACTATCCCTACCTTGGTCAGGCGTCCTCTGAGTTTTATTTTTTAAAGAATTATTTATTTAGTTTATTAGTGGTAGTAGCAGTATTTTCATTCACCAGAGAGAAGGAAAGCGAGAAAGCAAGCCTTCAGGTTCGAGACCCAAACCGTGGAGTATGGCAGTCCAGCGCCTTAACCACCGTGCCACCTGCCGGCGCCAGTCCTCTGAGGTTGTTGGGGTTACGCTCTCACCCTGGCGTGTCTGCCGAGCCCTGTGTATCGGGCTGAGCCTACCCCGGTGTGCTCTGGCGAGAGCAGGTGTCCTTTTCACAACGGGGGACTGAGCTCCCTGATGTTAGGCTGAAGTGGTTCTCTGGGGTTCGATGAGGCTGGGCCCGTTGTCAGCAGGCCAGGACTGGAGCCGTGTGCGGCACACAGCGGGCGGCTCACCGGTGCCCAGGTTGAGAGAACCCCACTAGGTCTGGCCGTGATGCTTGGGGGAACCTGGCTGTTCTTAAGGTTTAGCTTTTTTAGTCTTGAGACCTTTTAAAATTGCACTTTTTGTTTGTTTGTTTTTGGTTTACATAGATGTTTCCACATTTTGCATTCGATCTAGAGCCAGACTGCAAGGGTTCTCACCCCGGGGTAACTGGTGGCTGCAGCTTCCTGGGCCTCAGCTTTCCTTACTCTGAGATGGGGAATTGGCCTCCGTAAGAGGAGACGAACTGATCAGCTGGTGGTGGCAGTCCCCGAGCACCGTGTCCACAGGAATTCTGAGGTCACACCCAGGCTTTCCCACATAGAGGGGCGTGACCGTCAGCGTCTGCCCTGGCCCTGGCTGGGGAGGAGCGCAGAACCGCCTTGGGAAGGGGGTGCTTTCAGGTCTTCAGACAAGTGGGCCATGGAGTCCGTTTCAGCCCTAAGCGCATTTCGGCCCGTGTGGCTTGTGTCTTTGCTGGCCTGGGACTGCACAGCCTTGGTGACAGCCTGTGGCTCTTTGTGCTACAGGAAGATCGTGGATCGAATCGACAGTGATGGGGATGGCTTCGTCACCACTGAGGAGCTGAAAACCTGGATCAAACGGGTGCAGAAAAGATACATCTACGACAGTGTCGCTAAGGTCTGGAAGGACTACGACCGGGACAGAGATGACAGAATTTCCTGGGAAGAGTACAAGCAGGCCACCTACGGTTACTACCTGGGTAAGGGCCCGCGGGAGCGCTTACACGGCCGGCCCGGGCAGCGAGCTTCCTGCGGGAGACCCCTCACCGTGGCTCGCTGTTCCGGGACCCATCACAGCCTTCCCAGTGGAACCTGCCCCCTGCCCGCGGAATGTCCTCCCGTGCTGCCTAAGACTCGCTGAGATGTTTAGTCTGGTCGAAGGCCTAGGTGGGAGGAAAGGAGCAGGAGGGACGCTAAGAAAATGAACACCTTAGGTTCACTCAGTCTCACAGGGACACAGAGCTGAGAAGGGAAGGGACATGTGTCTAGTGCAGTTTCAGAATGCTGCTGAATTTGAGGGAGCAAGGATAGAGTGGGGTGGAGCAGTCAGGGAAGGCTTCCTGGTGGACGGGGTAGGGAGCTAGGCCTTAAAGAATGAATTTATATTTGGAGAGGTAGCGAGCTGGCAGGAATGTGGGTCAGTGGGAGGTCACAGGTAGCAGAGAACATCTGGGTGCTCCGGAGTCCTGCAGAGAAGCACGGCCTTGGTGTGGTCTACGGCCCGTGTTTTCCACCCCTGCTCACGCTGTGGGGGCTGGGAGGCGCGGACACAGCGGCCTTCTGAAGTGAGATGTCTGCGGGAACGTTGCAGGCCCGGGCGTTTGTCCCACGGTGGCCTTGGGGCCTGCAGACCGAACGATCTGAGAAGAGGCACCTGCCTTAGCCACGCGGTGTCAGCATCGCTGTGTCCACCCTGCAGGAAACCCCGCGGAGTTCCACGATTCTTCGGACCATCACACCTTTAAAAAGATGCTGCCGCGGGATGAGAGGAGGTTCAAGGCCGCAGACCTGGACGGCGACCTGTCGGCCACCCGGGAGGAGTTCACAGCCTTTCTGCACCCCGAGGAGTTTGAGCATATGAAGGAAATCGTGGTTCTGGTAAGACTGACAGCCCAGGCTGGGAAAAGACCAGGGAGAAAGCTGGCCCCATAGCTTGTCCCTTCCAAAGAACGTTTTCCAGCCTGAAGGGAATATGGAGCAGGTGCTGACACGGGATCCTCGGGGTGCTGTCTGCAGGCAGCTTACTCAGGGCGGGTGGGCTGCTGTAACGGGTAGCCCCGGCCTCGCACCTGGCGTGCCCAGAGCACGTGCCTGGCCTCTTTATGTAAGCCCAGTACGGGTGGTCACAGACGTGGGTCTCTGGGCTCTCCCTAGCACTGTCAGGTCCCCAGGCTGGCAGTCGGAAAGAAAGAGAGGGAACGCAAAGGCACTTCCCATCTCACTCGCCTGGCCTGGAAGTGCCACCTCTCGTCCTGTTTTCCACCCGCCCCCTCCTCTGCAGAGGCAGGGGTGTAGTTTAGACGTGCGTTCAGAAAGGGCATGGTCTAGCGGGCAGCTACTCACCTCTGCCCTGTTTTGGAGGAATTAGAAAAGGACTCTGAAATCTAATCTCTCGGCTTGCTCAAACTATATGGAACTTCGAGTAAAAGTCGTGGCCAAAAACAATGCTACCCTGAGGGGCCG